CCTAATATCTAACGTAATATCTCCAAGAAAAGAAAGGAGCTGGATCCTGCCTTTAGATGACTTACATAACAGGGAATGCTAGGACATGGGGATGGGTAAGAACAAAACAGAACAACTGTGAAAAGCTTCCTAAGAAACCTGAGTGCAAGTCTCAGCATCTAAATAAATTTGCAGCTATTTCTGGTCTAATTATGTTTACCTAAAAGGTAGGGTGTTATTTAAACATTCTTTGTACACATTTTGGCTCCTGAATAATTTAATCTGTGCTTTTCTTCTTTCTTTCATGAATAAGTAGATAAATAACATATAGTGTATTCCACTCACCTAACATCATAGAAAATCTTTCTCTTGCTCTCTAGCTCTCTGTACTTATCAACACTTGGTGCTTTAGTCTAAATGTGCTCAGAAAATGGAATCTATTTTATAATCTACTCTAGTCTTAATCTTCTCCAGAAACATGCGAAAGTTATAATCCTTTTCATGGGAACACACTGTGGATGTATGCATATCAATATTTCAATTCTAATTCCAGGGATTGAAGTATAAATTAAAGTGTAAGTTTAGCATGTGCATGTAACAGTATAAAATCTAAATAAGATTCCAAGTTGTTGTGACTGATGAGTTAGGAAACCAGTGAATCCAAGTCTGAAATATTTCCTCGTTAAAGTCGTTTATCTTAGATTATGCTATGTGGCTTCCTGGTTTACTACACTCAAGAACATGTTAATCTTTTCCATGCTTCAAAAATAACAAAATCATACTTTGAATTCAGGATTCAGAAGATACCAGTAATGAGTTCAAAGTTATAAATCCATTTCTTAAAACTTTATCAATTGGGGCTAGCATTATGGCAGAGGGTTAAGCTGTTGCCTACAACACTGGCATCCCTTATAGATGCCAGTTTGAGTCCCAGCTGCTCCACTTCGGATCCAGCTCCCTGCTAATGTGCCTGGGAAAGTAGTAGAAGGTGGCCCAAAGGCTTGGGCCCCTGCACCAACCTAGGAGACCTGGATGGAGTCCCAGGTTCCTGGATTTGGGCAGGGCCAGCTCTGGCTGTTGTGGCCATTTGGGGAATGATCCAGTGGATAGAAGTGTTTTAGTGTTTCTCTCTGTCTCTCTGTCTCTCTGTCTCTCTGTCTCTCTCCCTCTCTCTCTCTCTCTCTCTAACTCTGCCTTTCAAATACAAGTAAGTGAAGTAAATCTTTTAAAAAAAATATCAATTTTCACATTGTATCATAGCTACATACTTGTTAACTCTCCTGATAGAATTGTTTGAAAGACAGGAACAGTCATCTATCCTTGTGTTTTCAGTATCTGCAATGGTGCTTTGTAGCTGCTCCAGGCTCAGTGAAGGTCTGCAGAAGAAATCAATGGATGGACAACAGTTTCCTAAAGCACATTGGGTTGACTGTTGTCTGTCCCATTCACTGCACATTGCCTATATATGACACGTTTTGCAAGTGCACATGTGCGTGTGAGTACAGTACAAGTATAGTCTGTGACAGGCAGAATAATGGCCTCCCCAGAGATGCCCATGTCCTAATTCCCACTGCCTGTGAATGGCACCTTACGTGGTAAAAGTGCTTTGCATATCCGATTAAGTTAAAGACTGAGATGAGGAGGTTTTCTGGGATTGCTTGGGTGGATCCAGTGCAATCCCAGGGATCCCGAGAGTGGAAGATGGAGGCAGTAGAGGACGTGAGAGGCTTCTAGATGCTGATAAAAGCAAGAAAACTGGTTTATCCCTAGAGTCTCTGGAAAGGATTCAGCCCTGTTGGCACCTTAATGTCAGCCCAGCAAGGCTCTTACTGATTGTCCAAACTAAGAAAATGTGTGTTGTTCTCAGCCACTGAGTTTGTGATCCTGTTACAGCAGTTACAGGAAACTGACACAATCCCTGACACTCACTCCTGTTTGTCTGCCACAGCTTCTAACGCAGAATTGTAGAGAGACTAGGGTATCTGTTGCTGTTGATTGTTGCCATCACTTCCTCTGTTGTCCACATCCGGGTCCACTACCCTACTCCGTGATGGAAGAGAACAACACGTGTTGGGATTCCTCTGCTCACAAATGACAGAAACTTAATTAAAACCAGTTTAAGGAAAACACATGCGGAAGGGAACATCTTCTACAAGTGAGACCTCCAGGGGGTGGAGTTGGCTTCATTCCCAGCTGAGACAAGAGCCCAGATTAATCCACAAAGACTTGCCCCTCTCCTTCGTTTACCCTCTGTGTTCAGGCTTCTAAATTCCCATTCCCTCTTTCAGCAAAAGATTCGAATTTGGCTATTTTTGTAGCCTGAGAGATTAAAAGGGCGCCAGAGATACTTATTCCTATACTTAAAACACCCCAAAATTTGTGGGCTTAAAATGCAAACATTTCCTTAATTTACTCATGATTCTGCGTTTTGGGCAGAGTGTGGCATGGAAGAGCATCCCTACTCCATGTAATACCAGCATGAGGCAGCTCAACTGGGGCTCAAGGATTCACTTTCAAGATGGCCTCACTCACACAAGACAGCACTGGCAGTTGGCTGGAAGACTCAGTTCTTCTTCATGTGACCTCTCCACATGACTAGCTTGGGTTTCTGACAGTATGGCAGTCTATGAGTAACTGCACCTGATTCATAGTAACTGGCTTCTTCCCAAGCTCAGAGTGGAAGCTTTCAGGTCTTCTTAAGGTGTAGCTTAAAATCAACACAAGGTGGCTTGTTCTAGTGTCTATTAAAGCAGATCACAGGCGCTGCCCAGATTTAAAGAAACTGTACGCAAGGCATGGATATTATTGCCATGGGTCATGGGACCCTCCTGTAGCAGTGTACACAATGGATGATGGAGCTCTGTGACTAGTCCAAACAGAGAGAATGGTAGGAGAGTCCCACAAAGAAGCCAGGGCTCAAAACATGTCTCCAGCACCCATAATAACCATTCCCTAGAGTGCTAGAAATTATTCAGTGAGGCAGGCTGTATTCCCCATTAAGTATGTTTACTAGATAGCTTGCACACTTTCTGGACTTGAGAGGGTACTTAAAAATTTAGATTTAAAGTTAGGGAATCTCAACCTTTTACTGTTTTACTTATGCTATGAGTGAAAATCATAATAATAGATAGCAAACAGTACTATAAAGGAATGAAATTATGTAGCATTCATGATGAATAAACTATAATGTGACTAATCCAGTGGTGGTTATTTGCCATAACCTGTTTAATGTGACAATTCCTTGTGTATTGTAGTGAGATGTTTTCGCCCTTCCACTACATTTTTATAATTTGTATTTATTCTCAAAAATACAGATCTCAAATTGTCAAATTACTTGAGCTGATATATGGTAATTAGCTTCAAGTTAGAATATGTGAAATGCATTCAATTAATTTTATGTTAAGCAAAATACAACACAGCTTTAGCATTACAAAGCATTAAATTTCTTTATGTAGTGAGGCATATATTTAAGAATATGGTGGACTCAAATTTCTCATTCGAATTTTATATTCAGAGAATGATCATGTAGTAGTGGGGATTAGGCAGTATTTAGGAAATGTATGCATAAGGATTATTTAGGATGGAATCACCAGAGATCTTGGAATATTTAGCACACACTTGTTGATTGATTTTATCAGCAGCAAATATGAAGTGATAACAACGATATAAATTATTCAGAAACCTATCACCCATATCAAGATTCTGTAAAGATTGCTTCAGAAAACAGTTTGGCAGAGTACTCTCTCTATACTTATTTTTTCCAAGTTCATGTACAAAAGAGATATGGATCCATACGGAATGGATTAACACTGATTCTTTTAAAATGAAATTAAATATTTTAAAAACATGAAGTGATGAGTGGTTGATCTTCCTGGCTGAAGCTCTCTTTGGTAGTTTATCTTAAATATTATTCTTGTCTTTCAGGGAGCATTATATAGTGAATGTAAGAGATTTATTCAAAACCTTGGATAGCTTGAGAGAGCTTTAAGACTTTGCCTGAAAATCTGCACATAGGCAAAATTCCTGATATTATGAGTTGGGATTTCCAGTGTAAGAGGATTTCAAATCATTGCTGAAGCAAGGGCTTGTTGCTGGTTTCTAAGCATCGTGTATCAGAAAGATCCAACGACTTCTACAGTCACTCAAACAAAAATGGAGCAGGACCAGCCAGCCACATAGCATGAAAGAGACTAATTTAGACCAAGTGGAAGGTATCAAGTTCTCTGGAAATGGGCCATTTATTCTAGAGACAGTTTATCCAGCTCAAAGGCAGCTAGGATAACCAGTATTTACATAGCCATGGGGCTTTCCGTATATGGAGATGCAATTACGTTTAGAGATCTCCATTCTTAAAGCAGTTTGAGACACTGCTGGAGAAAGCAGGTGTCCTGGTATTTGCAGATGTAGAGTTAGGGACCCCAAATAGCTACTTACAAATAATGTGACCTATAAACATTCATAGTAACCTTGTGGTCTCAATTCTATGCTTTTTAGGGTTGCTCTGAAGGCCCAATGAGAGAATGCCCAAATATTTCCCATACTACAAAGTATTATAACATTAAAAATTATAATTGCTAATAATAAAACTAAAACTTGAATGAGTAGCTGGTTTGTAAATGACATAGTGGTTGAATGCACCATATTTTCAAGTGTTGAATGTATTATTTCTTAAAAACATATGTTCATTTAAGAAGTATCTACAAGGTACAAAGTAGTTAAACTATCCCTCCTCCCCCCTATTTTAAAGCACTATGATTTTATTAACTTCCAATGGACACACAATCGGGAGAGAGAACCATATGCTTTGTGTATGTGGGTGTGCCCCCTCGCCTATTTGGGGATTGATACATTGGTTGCAATCTGGTGGGATCATGGCTATTTACAGGGAGAACTTGCTGCTGCGATGGTTTCTTAAGAGGTTTCATACCCAATCCTAGTAGTAACTTCAGTAATGGTGTGGGAGGGAGGTGGGAAAAGTTGGAAACTTTGGTTAATGGTTGCTTTCTCTGTTTCTCTCCCAGCTATCGGCAGGACCCTCATCCCCCGTTACTTTAGCACTGTGTTTGAAGGAGGGGTGACCGACCTGTATTACATTCTCAAGCACTCGAAAGAGTCATACCACAACTCATCCATCACGGTGGACTGCGACCAGTGTGCCATGGTCACCCAGCACGGGAAGCCCATGTTTACCAAGGTACAGCATAGGCTCCGAAATACACCTGGCATTTTCTTCCCTGAGTGAGTTAATGGATAATAATTGTAGTTTTCATCTGGAACACTGAGCTAATTTCTCACATCTTCAGGCGCTGTCAGGAACCGGAGGGAATCTTTTGTCTGTGACATGGCTAGAGGCTCTTGTGGAAGGCTGTCCTCAGATGTGTGCTCTGACTCTGAGCACACAAATATCAAATGGGGTGGAGCCTCAAAACTCAGATGAGTTTTCGGTTTAGTCAATAAAATGAATTTTTTCTTTTTTATAGACATGGTCCTCAATAGCTGAAAGACTGTTCTCTAGTGGTTGTACAGCCAGTATTTGTACTTTTTCACTAAAAAAAGTTTTAAAGCTAAAATCAAATTTTAATAAACAAGGGGAAAATCCACTAACTGCAACCCAATTATAGTTGGTAAGGAACATAAAAACATAAAAGATGTGGTCTGCGCTGTGGCACAGCAGATTAAAGCCCCAGCCTGCAACGCCAGCATCCCATATGGGTGCCCATTTGAGTCTTGGCTAGTCCACTCCCAGTCTAGCTCCTTGCTAAGGCTCCTGAGAATCGCCCAAGTCCTTGGGTCCCTGCACACACATGGGAGACCCAAAAGAAGCTCCTGGCTCCTGGCTTTAGATCAGCTCAACCCAGCCATTGTAGCCATCTGGGGAGTGAATTAGTGGATGGAAGACCTCTCTCTCTCTCTCTCTCTCTTTTTCTATACCTCTCTCTCTCTCTCCCTCTCAATATCTATATATAAAACTCTGTCTTTCAAACAAATAAAGCAAATCTTTAAAAAAAAGTTTAAAAATATGAATGAAATTAGGGAATTCAGAGCTTAAAGTTTGTTTCTCTGAATTCTTATAAATCCTACCTCTGTTCAACAATACATAAAAGCAGCAGCTCAGTGCAGGAGCATGGTAGAACCTTAAGATGGTTGCAAAAATGTGAGCAAGAAAAATGGGAGGGTTGCAGGTAACAGGGTCTGAAGCAGAATTTAAGGTCCTGTGAGGAACATGAAATGAAAAGTAGAGGAGATATCTATTTAACCTCATTTTCCATATGTTTTACACCTTATGACCCTTGCCATTCATAGAAAATTGACCAAAGTTCCCACCAAAGAACTTTAGGAAACACTACAGATAGTTCTTTTTATGTACCCTCCCAAGAAGATAAATTTGTGAAGAACAAACATTTGGTCATAGAATCTGCAAATAGAAGTTTATTTTAATAAACGCTAGTCAATTGTGCTTTGACTAAGACTCAGCGTGAAAGTAATTTGCAATATTAATGCTATTACTATGTCTTGGAACAAAACACAAATAATGATCCTCTTTATAGTTAACAGAAATTGAATTATCAAGGTTAATGGCAAAAAGCCCAAATGATAACGCTAAAGATGAATTTGCTACTGATATAGTTTGGCTGCAAGAATACAAATAAAATGTTTGTTATTTATTCAAATTGATTTAGCTGGTGCAATTTCATCTTTTCAGTGCCCATGCTAGTATACAAAACTAAAGGCAAAGAAAATGGTTGAAAGTGCAAAAGCAAATTGTCAAATGTCACTTATTCTATTATGATTGTTTCAGTAGACATTTTAAATGTGGGGCCAGGGTAGAGTTTTCTCTCTTCCTGTTTAAACAGTTGGACAAAGAGAAGACAAAGAAGCTGCTCTTGAGTGCAGAAGTTGGTGCTGGGAAGAGAGAGTTCTCTCTATGGAGAGGAGGATTCCCCGAATGATGCTGAGTCCACCCATGTCCCACTTCCTTCTTGCATCTCCACATATGCCTGGAGTTCAAAGAGAAACAGCCCATTTATTTCCAGTGTCACAAAGTCTGAGTACTGCAGAGAAAGCCTTTCTCTGTGCCTCACTGGCTTTTTCTTAAGAAAGAAAGAAAGAAAGAAACTAGGCTTAATGTCACAGTTAGGTAATTCAAGAAAAACATACCAACCTCTTATGCTTTAAGAGGACAAAAATCCATGATAATTAAATAAAGGTTGCTGTAATTAAGGAGCTATTTCCAAAGCCTGTAGCCACTGGAAAGAAAACTACATCTTGTAGTAGCCCCTGTATGTATTCACTCAATTTCTTTGTTTCTCAGACACAGACATCTTCATAAATTAACATAGTTAGTTGCTTTGAAGGTATAGTGTTGAACATTCAGGGCTTATTTTGATCAAAAAGACCCTTATTCATCTGATGAACTGAAGTGCTATTTTTCACCCAAATCAAGGAAGTTGGGTTTGCCTGGGCTGCATTCTTTCTTTACTGAGAATGCCCCTCACCCATATCTGAGGGTTGAGCAGTTTTTTCAGGCATCCAAGGCAGTTACTAGCAGACACTGGTAGAGCACAGCACCAGCAGTTTCCTGGGTCCCTAGCATCAGTCATCTGGACCACCCACCTCACTCCACTCAACACCAGTGTGCATGCCCCTTTTGGAATGAATATTTCCATACTGCAATGAAAGTTGTCACTTTCTGCAAAACATACCTTAGTTATGTGGACTTGGTCCGGATGCTAATTATATACATTTATTTTTAGGAAATTTGGAATGATCCTTTCTTTCTTTCTTTTTTCTTTCTTTTGTTTTTTGTTCCTTGGGGATTAATATACTACCCAAATTTAAAGAATCTTTCCAGTTTTTCTCTTGCTCTTACATTAATTTAAAATACCTCATCTTCCTGTAATAAAATATTATAAATATTTAGTATGAAACAGTGAGCTCGAGACCTTTCAGTATCACAAAGAAAAAGTCCAGAAGACTATGCATCACTTAGCACCTGATGCATAGATAGCATCACATTGTTCTAATTTAGATTACCAATAAACTCTCATTCCCTAAATAGTATTTGACCCTGTGGTTCCGAGTTGCTTTTAAAAATATTTGGCCAACTGGTAAAACAAAAATCAGCTGCAGTTCTAATCAACAGTAATATTAAATATTCCTCGGGAGGATAGTGAGCATTTTGCAATTTCCTGATACCAGGAACATTATAGATTACGGATAAATATGTAATTAGAATTTTAAAACACATGGTATATAGCCTTTCTTTTATGGTCTCAATTTTTGAATCTAATAGAAAATGAGGCTTTATCATGAGAAGAGCATACATCAGGGTTTTCAGAATCAAAGACACCTGAGCTCTGTTTCCATGTGAGGTTGTAAACACTGGAGGATGCTGGGAGGAGGAGTGCTCTCTGGGCAACATTCTTGGGGCTGTTTTTAGGTTTTACAGACAGGGTTACAGTCATTACTGGACAACATTAGCACCTATGTTTTAAAGATGGATTTATGGGTTTTTCTGTTCCCAAGTATTTATTATGAATTTATTGACTACAAAGTGCCATGAAAGTGTACCAATCAGTTTTCCTAGAAAAACTCTCATCATTGACAGCAAGTTCATCATTCCTACTTTAGGCTGTACGTCACATGATACTCTAGAATTTCTGCTCTTCTCTTAGCTCTAACTGAATTACAATATCAATGATCATATTGCTCTGATGTGTAATAAACACAGGCATTTACATATGCACTATCTCCAAGTAAAACACAACGAGCATTACACACCTGGTGATCCAAAAGCACTCTGCCATGCACGCTATTCAAGAGCAAAGGCTAAGAAAACGAACTGAACACTCCCACCACCTAAAAGCACATCTTATTGCACAAAGCTACCTGCGAAGCATTGGATGATACAGCGACATGATCAATACTGCTTTACAATTAGTCAAAGAAAGAAAAGGGTTAAAAAAGCTACCGGTTAGTTTGAGAAATGTTCTTTTTTAGTTCTCTTGTTCCTGGCCTAGTCTCAAGCTAGCACGTGATCTGCTGAACGCCTGCCAGCCTCTTTCTTGTTGATCCTCCGGAGACCATCTGTGCTGGGGGCATTGATTAGAGTGTGTCTGCTGGGATTACATCTTTTCTGTTGCCATGCCAACTAATCAGCTGATTTTGGTTACCACAGAAACAAAATGTCAGAGCTCACAGTACGGTAACATGAATTCAGCACAACAGAAAATGTTTTCTTAATTGGAGACCCTTTTGATTTTGGATTTCAAGTGAAAAGCAGCTTAAAAAAAAAGACCACCTTTAGATAAAAGCTACATTAATTGTTTTGATTAAGAGGAATACATAGAATTTTCTTGAAAAGGCATTAATTCCCTTTTACACTATGCCCATTTTTTATCATTCCTGAGCAAGAAATATACATACAATTTTTTTCTTATTTTCTATATATTATATATACAACAAATCACGGAGTCTTCCATTTACTTTAACTTCCATCATAAGGGTAGGCAATGGAGGAGCTGCCTAGGGAAGAAGCTGAGGATGTAACTACTTGAGAATGACCAGTAGTAACCAAAATTTCCCTCCTTCCTTTCACTTACTTTTTCTTAAAGAAAACACCCGACATGCTCAACTCAGATTCAGTTCTAAGGATACCCGTCTTGGTACATGATGTGCCTTGGATATTCCTTGGCTTTTGTCATAGAAAGGAGGAGCCCAAGTCTTGTTTGTAATTCTCCATTTTGTAGGTGCATGATAGTTTGACTGCAGGAAAGGTTCCCAACTTGTTTGCTCTGTTAAAATGGAACAAAACCACAATTCTGCTTGACCTTACAGATGCACCAATTGAGCAGTCCACAAGAAGGACTACATACCTGCCATTTCATTATGAAATTTTGTTCCAGTAGAAGTCAACCAGAACCTCCACTTCCCTGGATTTGGGTTGCATAAAGACAAAATAGATTAGGTCATTTAAAAAAACTGCATTTAACTGGGTTAACATTTGCTTAAATGTACAATAATCCACTCCCTTTTTTTGAAAAAAAAAAAAAGATTATAGCATCCAAATATCCTTATCCTGTATTGTGAGGACCTTTTACTGTGGATGGCTGCCTATAAGTACCTGCATTTTGTGAAAGCTGTCATTTCAGGTAATTTCTGTCAAGCCAGCATCACAGGGAGAATTGTGGGGTTTACTCTCCATGCAACTCTTTGAAAACCTTGTTAGATTGATCCCAATGCTAATAACGTTCTAGGGGATTGATCTGGGGACACTGGTGTCTTCCCCACTTCTGTGTACTCAACTCTCCTGGCTAAGATGCCAGAAACAAGACGCTGGAAGTGACTCAACTAAGGGTTTTTGAGACACTGTGCCTAAATGCCTGAAATTGCCCACAGCTTCTGCTAATTGGATCTGAGCTGGAGGTCTTACCCAGATCATCAATAATTATCTTCTAGTGTTTCCAAGACCTTTGATGAAATGAAGATGGCAAACATCAAAGGCCTCTTTTTTGAGTAGTGCCCCATCAGCACTTGTTAGCAATTCTCCTGCACTGGTTTTTGGCTTGTTTCAAGAAAATATTCCCTTCAGGTTGAATGCATGAAAACCACTCAAGGGGAAAAACCCAGAGGACATAGTTGGAGCTCAGTAAATGGTGTTTTGTATTAGATTTTTGACAAGGAAAGTGACTATTAATACTTCATGAAAAGTTGATACTTTATGACGGGTAGTCTTAGAAATACTCATATACCTTCTAATCAATTCATATTTTAAATTATATTTTTAAAAGTTTCCAAGGTTTTGTTCATTTGTTTTTAGCCTAGGAGATCTTTCTCCAAAATAGCTTTTTCAGAGCCCAACATATTAACATAGGTAAAATCAGCTGCTCTGATATAATTCAGAAAATGAATGAGGACTTCCAAGTCAAAGGAGAGCCCCTGAGATGACCTCTGACATGCGTGGGTCTAGGGCCCCATTCCCCTTTGGTTGTGTTTCTTTTATCTATAGCGCTATCATTTACTGTCATTCAACTTATGCCAGGCACAGTGCTGGGCAGTCTACATACATAATTCATGGAATATATCTTCTCAACAACCCTATTTAAGGATAGTATGATCTCCATTTTATAAAGGGAACCTATTTCATTTTTTTGAAAGTTCAAGAATGAGTTAAGAAAGCATTTGGGGCCAGCGCCGCAGCTCAATAGGCTAATCCTCCGCCTTGCGGCGCCGGCACACCGGGTTCTAGTCCCGGTCGGGGCGCCGGATTCTGTCCCAGTTGCCCCCTTCCAGGCCAGCTCTCTGCTGTGGCCAGGGAGTGCAGTGGAGGATGGTCCAAGTGCTTGGGCCCTGCACCCCATGGGAGACCAGGAGAAGCACCTGGCTCCTGCCTTCGGATCAGTGCGGTGCGCTGGCTGCAGCGCAGCGGCCGCAGCAGCCATTGGAGGGTGAACCAACGGCAAAGGAAGACCTTTCTCTCTGTCTCTCTCTCTCTCTCTCTTACTGTCCACTCTGCCTGTAAAAAAAAAAAAAAAAAAAAGCATTCGGGATTCAAATCCAGTACTGTCGGATGCCAAAGCTTCTATTCACTGTTTTGTACTGTTTCCCTGGCAAATGCAGGCTGATTAACAGGTTGTTACTATTTAAAATGGACCATACACTACCACCATTTCTTCTTGCATGGTAGAAATGGGCTCTGGGAGGTGTGATTACCTAGTACTTTCTTCCATTTCAAAGTCATTAGTGAAGAGAATGGTAAAGAAAACCAGAACTATGCTGAAATATGATAAGAATATTGAGAGAAGACAAAAAGGCTATGTTGTCACTGATTACTACTTCAAGGAAGAGAGCCTCCAAAAGTCTGTTTCATTAATGATATTTGTTTTTCTTAGAATGATAAAACATTGCATCTCAAGACTGGCTAGCCTTGTGTGCAAGCAGAATGTGTCATTGGTGATGTGACAAGATCCCAGAATGCCCTCTCTAAACATGCCTCTAATCTCCACATGTCATAACATATCCACTGCCTCGGGCTGTGCATTGCCCTCAGAATTTCTTTATGGAAATGAAAGCTTCCTCTAGTTGTGTTTGCTGTAGTAACTCACACTTAACTATGCATGATTTTGCTAGACAGTGTCTTCCAATGTAGGAGAACCAAGATTAGAGTGAGAACTCAAGCTCCCGTGGTAGAAAGAGGATGAATGTGGAGAAGTAGGAAGGGAGAAGTTACCATCTGGGGAAAGGAGACTACCTGCAGTGTACCAGGGGTGCTGACCCGATTCCCTCTCCCAGTGAGTTCTGTCGCATCTTGTAGAAGTAGACTTGCAGAGCTTCGGTGGTAACTGCTTGTTACTAACACCTCTTGACTGGGAAACAGCTGTACTGTCTTGTTTTCACTGAGCCTAGGGCTGGCCCTTGTGCCCGCGTGCCGTGGATAAACCACTTGTGTCACATCTTTGACAAGTGCCAGTGCCACTCTAGGGCAGTAAGGGAGACCAAGCTGAGTTGCTAATGTGCGAGCTACAAAACGAGGCCCATGTGAAATACCTAAGGAAGGTGTGTGTTGTTTCTCTCTTCTAGGTGTGTACAGAAGGCAGACTGATCTTGGAATTTACCTTTGATGACCTCATGAGAATCAAAACATGGCACTTCACCATTAGACAGTACAGAGAGTTAGTCCCGCGAAGCATTCTAGCCATGCACGTAAGTGACAATTTCTATTTTACTTTCTTTTCTTACTCTCCCGTTCCATGTCACTCAAGGGGAAAAACCCAGCTCACTGGCTGGCTGGCTGTCTGTAACAGAACTCCAGTAGCTCTCAGGCTTTAGGTGATTAACTCTGAATATTGAGTTTTACTCTCAGCCATTTTAATCCATGGGTCCCTTATCTTCTCCATTGTTCCCCAGCTTGGTGCATGGTGAGACTGTTTTTGATCCTTTGTTATTTTAAACTCCAAACTGAGGCTCAATAAACAGTTTGTACTTTCCTTAAATTCGGTTCAATCATTATCAAATACAGCTCTGCCTGGGCTAATAAACCTGTTACGTAAAGATGGGGAATGAAATAAAACAAGAAGGAAGAAAAACAGTTTCCACTTTTGATTAGAACCACCTGCGGAGAGGTGGGGCCCAGGACTTTGAGCTCTGCACTAACAGGAGCTGCGCCTTCCTCAGCACGTGCTGGCTTTGATGTGGAGCATTTGCAGTTCTCTGGGTTTCATTTGGTCATAAATCACATCAAGTTTATTGAGCAGCAGCTAGGTACAAGAGTGGTTTTGATGCCAACCTAGAGATGTATGTTAAAGCTCAGTAAGACCTAGTCAGGTGCAGTGCTTACATCAAAAGCCAATGACTTAAAGAAGTCCCTCCCCTTTAATAAAACCCACACTGACTTCGGTGTGAAAGACCTTTGGAGAAAACCAAACTTGGTGAGCCTGAGGATTAATGACCTTGAACAATTAAAAGACAATAAAATACCAGTAGCTCTATTGGTTGTTGGTATGCCAGGGCTCGTGCTAAATATTTTATATGCATGCAGATATTGCATCCTCAAGTCACTCAATGAGGTGAGTTGTTATTCCTCTCTGGGAAGTGACGAAACTGAAGCTCAGAGAAATTCAATAAATTGCCCAGTGTTTTTCAGCCCCAAAGTGGTAAAAATCAAGATTTTGACCCAGCTTGTTCTGACTCAAAAGCCTAGGCAGTGGTCTCCCAGCAATTCAGTTCCAGGCTCTCTCTCTGGAACTGTGTCCTCCACTCTGTCCTTCCAGCTGAATAATCCAGGCTCTGCTCCTTCCGCTTGCCTGTGCTTTCTGCGTGGCACTCCTCTCTCCTGCTCCACTATTTCTGCAGATCCAGGCTCCAGGTGCTTCTCAGTTTCAACACCTGCTGCCCATCTTCTACTCTCTTCTTCTTGAAGAAGGCTGGAGTAGCCTCTCTCTTATTCTCAAAATAGACTGAAAGTTAGCAGAGGCGAGTGTTTGGGAGCCTGAGCCCTAAACTGAAACCAAAGGATGTGATACTCAGTGCTCTGAGTCCCTCACCTATAACCTGGGTACAACAGTAAACTGTGTGGAGGACTATTAAGCACTCAGAACCAGGCCAGGCACATAGTAGGTCTTCTGTGGGTTCTGATGATTGCCCAGCAGCAGCAGTAACAACATTCCCCCCTCAGGTATGATCTTCTGAAGTGGGCCAGGCCTGCCGGATGCCACTCTGTAGAACCAGCTCCTCCTGGCACAGGGGAGGGGTTCCAAACCTGCAGCCTCCATGTCAACAGACATCCCCTTTCAAGAAACTGACATGAGACTAATACACTCGTGTACATAACACTGCTGCTACTAACAAGGCACTAATGTACATAATAACTTATTACTTATGGACACAAATCCAATTCATAGCATCACTGTGAGAAAAAGTACACACAAAAACAGAAGCATGAAAGTCTCATCAGTAGCAGCTAGGTGGCCCCATGAATGCCACTGGGGAGACTCAGGGCTATTTGCTGACATCCCTCTATGCTTACTGCCAATTTATTTAAATGCATGCAGAAAGAAGGAAAGAAAAAAAGAGGAAGAAAGCACAAAGACCAGAAAACTCATTTTGCATGGGTCCAGAAAGAGTTTTGGGATAGGATTTTCTGGCCAAACAGAACAACTGAGGTGGCCCCAGGTGTTTTATATTCCTCTTTTAAAATGTGGTGACATTTTGGAAAATTGATACTTGTAGTCCTGCGGGAGGAAACTTATTGAGGACACTGATGTCCAGCTTCTGCTTCATGGGGAGGAGAATTTTTTCTCTTTCAAATACTGTCCTCAACATCACCCTGTGAGAGCAATACCACTAACCCAGCAGGAAGAAGAGACCCACCCTCACCCCTCGTGCATGTCTCTGCTAATTCCAGAAGCATGGCCTGCTCTGGTGAGGGCCCTGGACCTAGAGTCACCCTAGCAGAGCTCATTAACTCTCAGCCTGAAGACGCAGGGCCAGCACGTCTCAAAGAGGAAGCTACGTCATGTCTTCCAAGGACTGGATGCACATCTGAGGCAGTTTGGTTTAACCATTTAGCACAATTGATCCAAAAATATCCTTGAGCATTATATGCAAGCGTCTTCACATACTAATGAAATTATCTCCGTGAACCGGACCCCCCAGGAAAAATCAACAGCAAGCTTGCATTCCATAGTAGCTGTAGTGCTGTATACGATTCTCTTGGAGCCATCTTGCAGGAACAAAATAACGTGATTCCTTCTTTTCTGTTTAGGCACAAGATCCTCAGGTTCTGGATCAGCTGTCCAAAAATATCACCAGGATGGGGCTAACAAACTTCACCCTCAACTACCTCAGGGTAAGGCCAATTGAATAACAGCATTGTCTGATGAGCTGGAAAAGTACTGCCGAGGTTTATATGCACCAAGGAGTTAAATTGAGGCAACACTCATATTGTACACTATGTACACACGTGCTCTGTAACACAGTGTGTGTGTGTGTGTGTGTGTGTGTGTGTGAGTGATCATCAGACACCGAGGTTTGATTAGCAGTGTCAAGCCTGGGATTTGTCAGGGTTGAGCTTCCTCTGTCTCTGTGTGTGACTCTGGAGTTAATGACTCAGGCCAGCAATGTCCCTGTTGCTGCTACTTCTCTTGTGGTTGCCTCAGGTTTCTAGAGTGCTTTTGCTGAGTTCACTGCCTCTGCACCTCCACCCAGGAGTCCATCCCCCCTGGCAGAGTCTGTGTGCCATCCTGAGCGAGGCCGCTGCCATAGAGTGTCCTGCAGAGATTCAGGCCAGTGCTGTAGTGCAGACATTTCTAAGGCTTTTATAGACCCTCTGTGTAACATTTAACAGACTTCTCTGGTCTGGATATAAATTCAGTTTCTATTCTTGAAAATTGAGGATTTAGGCAAAATTTCCTTTCTGTAGAATCTCATGGCTTCCCTATCTGGCCTAAAAGGATAAATGTATCACACCTGTGTTTAGGGTGGGTGTGCGGTAGTCAAGGCAAGGTGGATGCTATGGTTTTGTTCATAAAACTCCAGAATGCGTGGGAAGTCCCTGACCACATTCCTGAGCTCCTTTGTTGTATAGCAGGTTGCTTCTCCAGCCCCTCCTCCCCCTTAAAGTTTATGCCATTGCTTCTCTATTCCTGAGCACAGTCCGAGTTTGTGAGTTTTGTTGTGTGGTCAGTATCCTCTGTGTACAACCATTTTGCATTTGTTGAAATACCAAGATGCTTTGCTTGTCCCACTGTGCCATTCAGAATGATTCACAGATTCTTCCAACATCACTGGACGCTGAAGAGGCAGAAACAAAAGTCATGCCACCTGCATCAAGAAACACCCCTAGGAGGTCAGACCCACAAAGAGAGGAGACTGTGAACAGCGTGATTAGTCTTATGATAGAATTTTCGAGAAGGAATTATGGGGTCTCCAGAGACTGCAGAGGCACCAGTCAGAGAAGACTCGGGGGGGAAAGTGATACATAAATTGAGAGCAATAGAATGAGCAAAGGTGGCTACAGAGAGCAGGCAGGAAGGCTGCTTCCATGAGAGGGAGGAGAACAGTTAAGGAAGGGGATTCTAACTAGAGTGATGATCCCAAGACATGAAATAAGAAGCAACGAGAGGCGAAAGAGTTGGGGAGCTGAACTTTTTTTAAAGATGTATGTGTGTATGTGTGTATGTATGTATTGGAAAAGCCTTGTTCAGGGTATAAGGAGAAAATCCCCTTTATCTGCAGCTTTGAGTCCTAGAGCCAAATCCAGGCCCAGCTGGCATCAACTGCACTCCCCACCAGTTCACCATAAGACCTGTATGTGGGGAACCCCGACACACTCAACGAGCCACTCATCCCTGCTCACGGGGAAACCAAAGTCAGCCCAGGAACATGCATTAGCAGAGTACGTCATTGCCAGGGCTGTGTCCTCACAAACCTCCAGGCTCTGCTACCGGAGTGGCTCTCCTGAGGGGCAGCTGGCAGAGTGGGATAGGGTAGCAAGGCCTGAGGAGTGAGGGCCTACCCGTAAGAATCCATAAGGCTAATCTGTATTGCTGGAGCCAGGAGAGGCTGTGTTGAAAATCTTTTTAGGCACACATCTGCCTCCTGCAGTGACCCTACAGGTGGACCCTGCATAGGAATCTGGCTCTTGAGAGTCTATCCCAGACATGGCTTTGCATTGTCAAATAGCCTCCCAGCGTGACAGGGTTGAAGATGTGTTGAGGTTGCCAAGCCAGGAGGCATCACTCCCTGTTCAGGCACAGTCTTACATCCTCTGGAGGCTGTCACAGTGGCCACAGGGAGGCTGTGTGCTGATCCAGTCTCCTTGTGATGGTTATCCAGGCAGAGGCTGGGACTTAACCTAGACAGTGAGGAAATCATTATTTCATAACTATTGGACATCCCCAGACACTGGCTGGTGCGTTTTCACAGATATGTCCTCCATCTACTGGGAAAAATTGTTCATTATGGGGATGAGGGCACCACTCAAAGATGGGCACAGCCTTCCTGGGCTCTAGGACAAGGAAAGCATGCCAGGAATTCAGGGGTGTGTCCTTTGCCATTTTGGCTGGAATGCAGAGCTATGGCCACCTACCTGGCATTTCATGAAGCAATCCAGTCCAGGGTTCACAGGAAGGCAGACCCTCTTTGCCCATTTATTTATCTTTCATTTCGCAAGTATCTCTTGGGCACCTTCATTTTAAGATTTTTAGTGTCAAGTCTCAGCTCTCAAGTTCACTACCTATTATGTCAATTAAAATCAAGTATGCACTGAGGGAGAAATTGGTCCCAGGTATTGAGACAAATGCAAAAGCTATCACTTACAGAGCACTTTCTCTTTGCCAGGCACTGCTGCCCTGCACTTTGTATAGAGTCTCTCTCTTTATTAACATCAGCATCCTTGTGAAGTAAGGACTACTCTTGTCCCTTCTGAGGGTGAGAAAGCTAAAGTATAGAGAAGTCACTTCCCCAGACCATGGAGTTGGAAGTGACAGAGTGGGATGTGAACCCATGGTCTGACTCCAGGAGTAAAGGAGGGAGAAGTTATTGAAAGGTGGATGCGGAAGTCACAAGTCTTCATAAAGAAGATGGCTCTGGAGCTGAATTTTTTTGAGGGGGCAAAAGATGGGCAGGTGGGCACCAGGCAGACAAAGCAGAGGGCAGTCTACGTAGAAGGTGTGCTGTGGGTAGTGACAGAAAAGAACGGAGAAAGTTGGTGGACTTGGGATACTCTAGGAATTTTCAAATTTGTTTTAGGCATTGTCAAACTAAATAACAAATAGGAGTTCTCAAAAAGATACAACTTACTCTCCTGAGCATTGCAACAGGAATACACTAACATTGTAAACTATGTTAATGTTCAAAGAAGTTTTTAAGGGGAAAATGAGGAGGATTGCATAAAGTGTTTTGGATCAATTAACCTTGACTACATGATCAAAAAGAAGGGTGGCATCAGTATAAGGCTGGACAGATGTCCTTGCAGAAGCATTGCCTGGGAAAATTTGTGATGGCTTTTGTCAAGGTTATGCTGCTGGCACAGTCTTTTGTGATAGTTCTTGTTATCAAGCATGTATGCATGAGATTGCCTCCTTCACAACCTCCTGGGTTTATTCATTATTTTGGTTAGGGCTTGACACAAGCAAGCCCATTTTTATTCTGATGATTTTCAGTACCAACACAGGGTAGTTGTCTGAACCCAATTTATACAGTTTATCTGAGTGATATAATTCCAGAAAAGGATTTCTAGCAATAACATGGTCAGGGGGTACAGCCTCCTGCTATGGAATGAGCTTGAAGGTTGGACAGAGAAGACTGTGTCAGAGACTATTCATCTACTAGCTATGTGACTGTAGACAAGTTACTTGGTCTCTCAGAGCCACAATTTTATCACCTTTGAAATGTTCTGTAACAACCCCCACTGGGTTCTGGTAAGATGAATTCATGAGGGTCTCTGTTCTTCTCTCAGGTAGAGTTGTTGGTTTTATCCCCTGCATGTAGAGTATGCAAGAAAATCTCTTGTGGATCAACACAGTTGGGAGTCTGATCCTTCTTGCTTGGTTCTTATCTTTCCTTTCATCGATGTGAAAGCCTCTTCTAATTCAGAGTTTGAAATTGCAATCATTCCCATTTCTATGAAGCCCTTACATGTCGCTCCCCCTCTTTACGGAGGAACGACACAGGACCCTGCGCTGTTCTTTTGTCTGCTCGGCCCTCCCCGGGTTTGCTGCTGGTTCTTCCCGGGTTGGCTACCGTCCCTTCCACCTCCGTGGAAGGGCGGTTCCCCCTGCCACTTTCCCCACTTCCGCGGGGGAGCGGCACACTGTCGGCCAGCTCTCTCGGGGGCTGCACAGGTGTTCCTTCAGATAGATGTTCCTGGTGCATGTTGTCTCTCTCCTCCTTTATAGTCCTCTTCCACCAATCCCAACTCTGCTACCCACACGCCGAGTACGCTGCTCTCCTCCAATCAGGAGCAGGTCCTACAGTTTATTGGTTGAACTGGAGGCAGCTGTGTAGAAGCTGTCTACTCCTCTCCCAGCGCCATACTGTGGGAGAGCAGATGCATAGAATAAGTCTTAATTCGAGTAACAGTCTAGTCCGAGCTGCTCCCCACACTTACATGTGAATGTCCACTGTATGCAATGACTGCATTCTCTGTAAACCGTTTAAAAGAATAAAATTTCCAAATTTAAAAATGTTACAAGTCACATCTGTATTATATCCAATACCATAAAGAGAATGCATATGGGCAATGCAGAAGGCATGTCCTTAGGCATTTGAAGGAAACACCTGCAAACTTCTGGATGGCATTGAGTAGAATGTGTCATTCTCATTTCCGTTAACTGTCTCTCCCATAACAATAGAAGGGACACTCCCTTCTTGCACAGAATGCTGCAGGCACAGCCCTCGTTCACACAGTTGTCTACCATAGGATTTAGGATGCTGGTTTTGTTTTAAAGTTTCATGCCAGTGATCTAACCAGGAGCTATTTTGATGGCATCTACTATGCGTTAGTCAAAACTGGCTATGGCACGTTCCTTTCTCCCATGGAATCTAAGACACTGGTAAAAGCAGATCTGCTTCTAGTCTACACTGTGCAACCTCAGGTGGTGACCTCAGCCCACCCTCATCCCATGCCTCTTCTCAGTCTTGCATTCCATCCTGTACCACACAAGCTCCTGTAGTTGGTCCAAATGGGTCATGCTTTCTTGCTTCTGAGCCTTTGACTCACTGCCCAGCACAGTGTTGCTACCTTTCTCTCCCCATTCAAGCTAGATCCTGTTCGTACTTCACAACTCATTCACCCATCCCTTCCTGTGAGAATTTCCCTCTGATTCTCAGCTGGGATATATTCTC